GTTTTTGTCTCATCAACTTTGTTTTCATTGATCAAATCATTCACATTTTTCCACCAACAAAAACATTCAACTGCTAGAAAAAAAATAATAAAACGGTCACTGGATGAAGTATGTATATTGAAATCTACGAACTCTTGCATCTTACGAACATATTGTTTTTCGTTGTTCATATAGATCTTTGAATGTTTTCAATTTAGCTTTTAATTTCATATTTTTCTTTTTCAATTGTTTGTACGTTGACTTGTAATCTTTTAAACCTACATGATCCATTGTATGTTCATGGAGAAAATATATGATACTAAACTTTAGTAAATATAAGAAACTAATCTAACTAAAATGAAAAAATCACACGTTTAAAAGCATTCTTTGTTAGTTTTGTTCACTTTCTATTTCTGTACGACTTTGGCGTCGTAACAGGCATAACAAATCCTCGAGAGGTTATATACTCTTGCAATGATGTCGGCAGTACTACTACTCATTATACGAGGGATATTAGCCCTAGAGAACGTACTTGTGCCAAGTACTCGGGACAAGTACTCCGCTTGCGTAATGAAGCCGGTAGTTGTCTTTTTTCCAGAAGTAAATTTACTTGTAAGTACTCGTCCAGCGTGCTAGTACTTTATTTTTCACTTGACAAACACTTGTTCAAGCGCTTGTCAAGTAAAATTGCAAGTACTTGGATTATTGTCAAGGTAATATTATTCAAGTGCTTTTCTATTGTCGCTTAATATTCACTTTATGAACTTATATCGTTCTATGTCTGAAGTCCACAAAGAAAACACATTTTCCTAAGCATAGGTACCGCGAGGTTTTTCGCGGTTTTTGGAAGTACGCAACACTCTAATTAAAAAAGTAAGATCAGATTTGGAATCAGAGCAAAAGTCTGCACCAGGTGAGATGGTTTTTAATATCTTTTGAAAAAAACTGATTTTTGAACAAAATTAGTTCCGAACGAAAAGTGTTAGTTATAGACGTTCCGTCCCCCATGACGATACATAGATTTGCAGGGTGCACAGGTTATCTTTTTATCGTTCGGCTCGTGATTTGAGACTATAAAACTCATTTCATATTACAAAATCAGCAAATTTAGTCTTTACACAATCAAATACCCATTGGAAAAATGTCGGAACTTATTTCTCTTCAATGAAATGTGGAATCGATTCCAATCGTTAACTTTTTTGTTTGAAATTACAACGCTGGCATTTGCATTATTTGCGAGAACTTCAATAGATCTCAAAATATAGGCACTCGACAATCAACGAAAGGTTTATTTCTGAAGGTCTAAGCCATTAACGAGATACAACTATTAGATGGATCGAAAACAAAACTATATCGCATGCACGCCTTTAATAATTTTTTCGATCAATTTTTCAAGTTCTAACAGATTGATATCCAGACAGATATGAACAAATTCGAAGAAGAGAATTTTCACATCGACACCAAAGTCAAAGTTAACCTGTTACTCGATCGAACCTGGAAAATTCTATTTAGGACCATGTTGGAAGCGGTCAACGCTACAAAAGTGCTTAAGAAAAAGTGAAGAGACAAGTTGCGGCGATATACAGGATGCTTTTCTGTATGTATACGTGGCAGGATATATGCATCTAATACAAACTCGATGCGTCTAGATGAATCTGATTTATCGTTCCTTCTACAATTTAATAAATCTCTCAAATCTATGTATTATCTAATTTCTCTTAGAAGTAGAGACGCCATAACTATACATACTTCATCCAGTGACCGTTTTATTATTTTTTTTCTAGCAGTTGAATGTTTTTGTTGGTGGAAAAATGTGAATGATTTGATCAATGAAAACAAAGTTGATGAGACAAAAACTTATGCTGTACGTAAATGAATATATTGAAAAAAACATCCTTACGTTATGGATCTTGATAGCGAACATCTTGATGAGAATTGTAGCTCATCAAAAGTACACTTGATGATGTCCATTTTAGTAAGCAGCAAATCACAAAGCATACTAATCTCTTAAACATTTCTTAGTATCTTTTACATTTTTCGGGGATGATTTGGTGGAAGGTAGTCTTCACTAGTTGTCACAGATAGTTAGGTATTGACAGAAGACAACGCAATAATTGTCTTTTTATAATACTACAGCAATTTGGCCTGTAAAGATTTTTAGCTATTCATAACGAGTTTAATCTTGTATGTTAATCTCATTTAAGTGTATACCACTGCAACGAGAACTGTTAAGAAAATGTCCTCAGAAAACACCCAGTGACACAGTTCGTCATATTATTCAAGCAATTTATCCAGGCATTGTTGAACAAGCCAATATCAAAGAAAATGAAATACAAGATTTGTGTAAATCAATTATTTGTAAGTTAGAAAACAAATAATTTTTTTTTCTGAATCACCAAATAACGATTATCAGTGAGCGTCTATGACGTATTTAGCTTCCAATTAAGGAAGTTGCATTTTCATATCTATTTTCATAAAACCTTTATATTTTTATATATCTCTAATTAGATGATAATAGCATTTTGTAAACAGACCTAAATTTCAAGAACCTAAAATTCAAAGAACCTAAAATTTATATAGTAGTTATACCCGACGAGAGGTGACTTTTTAAATAAATTGTGATAAAAAAAGTCGTGTGTTGAAATATATTGATTGTTTTCTTTGTTTTAAATGTATCTGTCTGTTTTCAGTCATAATGCATATTACATTTGAAATCTATGATTTTTTCACATAGCTCGCTTACAGTATTATTAGTTCAAATGAAGTTAGAAAGAAGGCATGCCTGTTTTATATTAATCGTACGTTTCAAATGATAAAATTTTGGCGTCATTCGGCCGCATAAAGCACACGTTTAACCTAAGGAATGTTTCTGCTTATTTTTTTCCAATTATCGGATAACTTTAATATGGATATTCTTGATCTAGCATTTATTCCTAAAATTTAGCAGGAGTGATGAAAGCATAATTTATTTTAGCATATTTAAAAGATATACATTTAGTGGTTGATGAGTCACAAATAAAAAAAGTAATATCAAATGTGGGTGCAAAAGCAAGACAAAAATTAGGTGCTGAATCATCGAAAAATAGTACTGAATCAAATAATGCTGTTTTTGCAATAGAGGCACAAGATGACGATGAATTAGAATATGATCAACAACAAATGATCGGTGATGATACTTCGAACAGTTTTGATGATTTCAGCGTAAACTAAGAAACACATACATTTTATAGAAAAATACAGCACAAAATTTTATTTTAGATAGTTTTATTATACAATTTAGCACAATATGTACGCCATATGACATATATATGTATGTACGACTTTATTTGAAAAAAATCACATAATCTTGAACTTTTATGCTTCTTAAATTAATTAGTATGATTTAAAAATTTTAGCAAAATTGGTATCAAATCCAATTTAGATTCATTCCTTTTAAGAGTGAAATAATATAAACAGAAGGCTTATGGTATCATGTTTTTGTGTTTTTGTTTGCTTAATCATACAGCTCAGTCTATCTAATTATATCTAATTCACTGTATAGAAATACACTAAGCGCAATTAACTATATATAGAATAATTTTTCTATTCCTTTTTATGCATAGTTGAATAGGAAAAACTATAGTGGAAGGAAATAGATAAATTTAGTTGTAAACATACAATAATGGAAAAAATCATAAATATACGTTTGACTACACTGTCCAAGCACACAGTGGTCATACAGCCAGACATTAGGCAGAAAATCGAAGTTTTTCCTTTTTCAGATAGAAATAGGGCAAAATGTAGCTCTTTCAGAGGGCTGTCGAACGGTATATAAATGTCTATTGTGAAAATGGATCCTTCGACCAGAAAATAGNCAAAAATACGATTTTTCACTTTCACAGCTATGTTATGCAATTTTAAAGCACATATTCGGAATCAGCATGTCTTCAACTATCTTTTCATAATAAAATGTTGCTACTTTAACACAAACTTCACCAAGTAAGAGCTCAAGATTCTTGATCATCTCATCACGGAATGACACCATCTCAGTATAGTCGAGTTCCACGTTTTTCCACACCTCCAAAGTAACATCTAAATACACCAGAATGTTCCCCAGACCATACTGCATTACTCAGTTCTGCGCTTTTTCTTCCAAGTTGAGTTACAGATTTTCCAAAACCCACACAGATTTTTAGGTATTTCGGCATTTTCTCCCTTATAAAAACACTTCTCGACAAAAATAATACCATATTCGGGATCAGCATAAAAAACTGCATCGAATGATGTATAACTCATCCAGTCTCGGTCGCTTGATTTTGAATTCTAGAAATTTCGCAGTTTTTGAGATTTACACAAACAATTTCGTGCTGAAAATTTGAATTTCAAGATAAAGGAACCTGAACGACTTTCAAAGCCCAACTCTCATGCCATTAGAAAGAGGACCATGAAAAACCTATAAAAAAATGGTTCATGAAATTTTAGTTCACTCATAAAGCTTAAGTCCGCCTGCTCTAGCAAAAAATGCCCACTGTGATAATGTAGCCATTTATTGAATCTGTTCCTAATTTTCTATCTACTCTGTTTTGAAACAAAGTTCATCGTAATTGGATATTCTGAGCTGTGAAATTTTAAAATCATACTAATTCATTTAAGAAGCATAAATGTTCAAGATTATGTGATTTTTTCAAATAAAGTCGTACATACATAACGGGTGATGCAAAAGCTTTTTCCTTTTTTTGTTTCCACTATTCCTTCTCCCAAAATATCCGGAAGGATTAACTATTTTTCCGTCGGAAAGACCGAAATCTGAACTTCAGAAAAACGTATGAATTGAGTGATTAAATTTGAGTGAGAAAAAATTTAAATACC